GTATATAGTATAGTAGTGGTAGCGTATACTAATAAATACGCTTCCTTGCAACAGGAGGCGACACTTGCTTGAAATGCGCACAAGAAAATGGGAAATTCATAATGAATAAATCCATAAATATTAGGTGGAAAATGTTTTTATGCCCAGTACGCACTTTGTGCCTTTCCCATGTTTATAAAACGTGGAATACAAGAGGAATCTTAAAGGTGTTAAATACCGACATTTCATATTAAGCAGCGAGTGGAATATGTATTCGTTGAAAACGTACAGAAAGCATTTATTCTCAAAAAGCAAATTTTTCAAATACAATTTACTTTACCTTTATTTATGCCTATGCGAGCATCCCTCCTCATTATTCCTTTGATGCTCAAAGCATTAAATACATATCTTTTTTCTACATGCTCTCAAAATATTATTTCGAAGTTCGGTACAGGGTTTATTTGAATTTCCGTTTACGTTAATGAGTTTTAGAATACGCGTATACGTAACATAATAAGGTTTTAATTTTAGGCACAAGCAAAGTGAAATGGTAGCCTTTAATAGGTTGCTTGAGTAGTTCCGTGTCCTTTTTAATTAATGGTGTTGAACAAATAAAATAGTCCTTTCGTTTTAACTGAAAGCTTCGTTAAACCTCGATCCCTTTCCCTTTTCTGGCAAGCAGTTGAACTACTTTCTATGTCATCTCGTTTTGGTGTACTGTGCATTATGGAAATGTATTTATCCGTTAAAACTATTCGGGCATAATTTTCTATGCAGATACACGTTTTCCCGAGAAAATGTCACCTAGATAGGTACAGGTCGCAATTTTGACGCTATCGAGTTGAGACTTATTAGGTATTTAGATTTTACAAAAATCTGAAAACCTAATGATTTTGGCGAAAGTCAGAAAAAAAGGCTTTCGTGATGTTTCCGAGCAAACGTGGCCACCTCATTACATAGTCAAATTTTCATGCTATTGAACAAATATCTCAGGCTGGTTGTGTATTGTTACGTAACTTGGAGTGGAAACTGAATTAAATAACCTATGGTGGGCGCTAAAATTGATAGTGCATAGAAAGTGTCCCTACAAGCAGACGTGGATTCATATATGACAAGTCTGGTCAAAAACTCAAGGTGGTACTTTAATTTTTCTTCTTTCATGATGACAGTCTAACAACAAGTCCCATTGGGATTTATGCTTTTCCTGGCTATTTTGATGTCATTAAATTACTTACAGCTGATGTCCTATATCGAGAAGCTGGCTATGGGCAGCAAAATGGTTGATTTAATAACATTGGCTTTTTCGTTGCCTTTTTATCTCTGCGTATCTCTTAATCCACATTATCCCAAAGGTGTAGCGGGACGATATTTGTTTCTAATATGTGTGGGGACGTGATCATTAGTTCTACTAATTCGCTATAGAAGAGTGACAATTTTCCTAGTGGTTGGTTAAATTTTGAAATTCAGTCGTTTGGAGTAAATGCCAACACCTGTGCCATCAGTGGTCTTCGATTCATCTTTAAAATTTGATATATTATATTGGTATGCACTGTTATCACCAAACAGTATGCGGTAGTTTCCCCATATCATGAATTCAGAAGTAAAAGTGTCCACCCATCCATCCAGGATACCATCCTTCTGATTGCTTCCCCTAGAATGCGACAGAGGCCGTATAAGAGGCTGGTATAAAAACAAATTTCTATGAACTGAGATTGAGATTCCTTTGAACTTCCTTTAACATAGAAAATCACTAATCGGTCGGTCGATAATGATACTCAAAATTTACTCAATGGTTGAGTGTATTAAATCCACAAATACACACCTCCACACACCAAGAGACTTGTACTAACCTCCTTTTTATAATTGGAGTCATGCAAAATTCAGCATAAAATTATTAAACTCTGATACCCAAGTCGTTACTTTCACAGCTAAATTGACCTTCGATTGATAACCATCTTGGCTTAACTATGTTGAATATTCGATAATTTTTCTTATAAGAAGTCTTGTCTACTAATTCAAAATTTACACGTTGCTGTGTTATTCTTTTGAAATTAAGCAATGTCGATTATATTATTTGATTTCGAAGTCGATTTCGTTTTGTGTCAGAATTATTTGTTGTTCATTTTGGTTAAATAATCACCTTGTACCTAATTTATTTTTTAAACTTTTATTACATTTTAAAAGACATTTAAACATCTGGAAATCTTTACGTAGAATTTTTAAAAGTGGAGCCGGAAGTTGAAAACAAAAGGAATGTTTTAAATAGAAGAGGAAGGCGTTAATCGTGTGCGTTATTTGTTGCAAAATGGTCAGTTTTAGCGGTATCGCAGCTTTTTCTATGATCGTCAGTTAGAAAGTTTTGTAGGAGAAAGTCTACCTTAAGTTGTGTTACGTTACACGGAGATAAGTGAATTTTATAAGTCGAGTTAAGCGGAACGTATTTTACACTTGCAAATAGTTTTCCGAATATCCGTTAAAGGGAGTTTTTTCCACCATCAAAGGGCGAATACTATAATTGTAATTACAACGAAGTCAGTGTCGTCTAAATCGACATTCGCGTGCTATAATTGAAGTTAGGAAGGAATATCACATGATGTTTTGTATTTGTGCGATCTTTATTGTAAATGGCAGTTGCGACCGCAGATTTTGGATTATTGACACTTTTCTCGCTTGTTGCGTAGAATGTGTCATTCTAGCCCTGAGTACCTGTTATTCTTTCAGTTTATTTATGTATTATTGTTCATCTGTAAATGGTTGGTTTTGTAATTAATTCAGACAAATTACGACACACCCAGATAAGATTTCAAATCAAATTTTCTAGTGGTACCCAGGTGCTTCCTATTAATCCACACCAACAACTTTTCATATTCTTTATAATAGGCTTTTGCATTTGGATTTTACAGGTACCAACTCTTCTTTTGCTGCTGCAATAAGCCACTGAATGGATGGTGTATTATCTTCTTCAACCGGTCATTTTATTTACAAAGACGGTGATTTTTGTAAACCAACGTCAAGTAACATTTCCATGGAGATCATAGAATTACGAATAATCCGGAAATGTATTCGAGATAACGTCAATATGATTTCATTTTATGTTCCTTATTTTTAAATTATACTGCAGGTATAATAAAAAAATACTATATTAAACACCTGTCTAATTGGGTTTTCGTGCCTTTAAACGTTGCCAGAGTTTTAAAGACTTGATTATACACTTGTTTCTTAATATACTATTTTTATCATTTTCTCGAATTCGCGCTACCTCTTCAGCATTTCGCAATGTTAAATGTATATAGGATTTAGTGAGGGAATCAACACACGTTACACCCCATACGAAAGGCCGTCCAAACTGTCATGGCATCAAAATTATTCCATCTTGGTGTCTTATTACAACCATTGGGTTCCCGTAGTGCGGAAATGTAGACATGTAGACCCAAACGGAGGCACATAGAAATTCTAAAAGATGCAGCCAAGCACCTGATTCTTTTTCTTGTAGGTCTAGAAGACGTGCTTGGTCTATTTCTGAAGGATATGAACTGAACAAAAAATGGAGAAAAATCCGAGTCCGAGTGGCGCGATTATAGAATTCAAATAAGAAAGTGGAAGATAAGGTAGGTCAAAAAATGAACTACGCATTTCACCATTTCACCCCTTGAAATAGAGAAGCATATTTCAACACATAAAAGCTGATGTCTGCCCGTCTGTCTGTCTGAGTTACAAAGGCTCCAAAACTGCATCAGTTACAGACTTGGTATTGGTGTCATTCGATCAGAAATTAAAACTTTTTATTTTCGGGCAACTTCTGAGCTAAAAAAAAGCTCACTCGTGTACTAATGGTAAGGTGGAGTACGTTACACAAATAAATTACTAAATACTAAATTGTGATAATAGAACGCTATTGGAATATTTTAAAAATTCATGATCATAAAAGTGTACTTTACAGAGTGTTTAGTAATTTCTTATATACCTGCAGACATTAGTGTACAGTACCAAAATATTGCGATTTTTGTTAAATTTTAAAAACTCGTTTTCTTTATTTATAGCACCATTAGAAAGCTGAGGAAAAAATTACTAATGGTTCCTTAAAATTATTTACCGAAAATGAAATTTTTCGATTTTTTGGTCATAACTTTGCTATGTGTAGAACAACAAAAACTTTAAAATGGAAAATTAATTAGCATAAAATTCTGCATAACTTTGCCTATTTAAGCGACTTTGTATCAAGCACACCCTGTATAAGAATGTTTTTTTTTATTTCTGTAAGACAAAAATTTTTGAGACAAAATTGCCGCCCCCTAAAATCTGCCGCTCTAGGCTCTAGCCTACTCAGCCTGCTGCAAAATTCGTCATTGCCCCCCCCCCCACCCTCATTACTGTACTTTTAAATTTTTACCTTCTTCAGTATATTTAATGGGTAACTAAATGGTATATAGAAAGAAAGAATACATATATCAATTAAATTTGTTTCACGGCGACACTTTTGTGGCTTAATAAAAGCAAAATAAAAATACTTTATATGCAGAAGAAAATTATAACGTTTTATACTTAAACAATGAATCGCGTGGAAAGCCGTACCGTGCTGTAATGTATCATTAAACTTAAAACCATATATTTTTATTTGACTATAAATCATTGCGTTTATTACCAACTTTTAGAATATTTTTCTATCCACAATGGTTTTTTGTGTGAAGTGACCATACTGCAACTTCTAGATTTAATATTCCTATAGGATCACAATCCAAGTTCATACCGATTGTTTGTTTTTGTGAGCATTAAGTTGAAGACAACAAGAAGATGATTATTGTGTTGGTGTTTAAGCTAAATATTTGTGATAACTTCATTGCTGTGATTTTGAACTGATAAGGCAACCTAGTTTAATTAAAAATAGAAATCGCAAATGCATTTTGAATACATATTTATTTCCGGAAACAATACCTCGCATGTGAGAACCTAATAAATTTATTGCGCAAGCGTTCATTGTCTATTATGTCAGCGTCGCGACGCCAGTTCAGTCGACATGCGGCACGCAGGCCGTAACTACAGCAATGACTTACAAGCGCGCGCGATTAATGTACGAAGTTATTGCAACAGTTCTATGCTTGTTTATATCTACAACTTCAAGTCTTATAGGTACTTTTATTACTCATAGTTAGCAACTAATCCTCTCTATGCTATTTGCATGGTAACCTATTATTAATATGAATCAATTGTCAGGAATTATTAAAGTAAATGGAGAGAACAGAAAATCGCTTCGCCTCGTATAATTGGCATGATATTACAATAATGACCAATTAGGTCGAACTATACCAAAAAGTTTGTAATTGGGGAAGTTGTTCTGTTCCCGATTGTTAAATTATGCATTTCTAAAGCTTGAAATTACATCGGTTTCAAACGCTTTACTCAGTTTTACACTAGGTAATTATATAAATCACAAATCCCATTTGGAAACATAAAAGAAACCACAAATCTATTTTTATTGGGAAATTGGATATGATTTATTACTCTTTGGAGGGTACCTGTTTTTTTTTATTTAATTCATTGCTGGCCAGGCAAAAGTCGATAATCACGGAAAACCTAACGCCCGCCGTAAATGTAATCGGAAAATTCCTTGGAGCGGTTCATAATTTTATTTCCGAAATGAAAATGTTATAGATGGATTAAATTATAAACGAGTTTACCTGACTAACTGTCGCCCTAGTAACAAACGTAAAAGTAATGTACTACGTATTGAGTGAGCACTAACTGTAATTGATATTCTTCCCGTGGTTTGAGTATAGACCTCATTTTAGGCGTCCAGAGGTAGCGCCCCGCTGGTTATAGATGTATAGTGCACATGAACCAAGTTAATATAACACAAAATATACAGGACACCGTGACAACTTTAAATATTAATACTTGAATAATTTAATCGGTTTTAGGTTTACTCGAAAATGACCTTAACTGTTTATTTTTATATGCGACACCCTGTATATTTTATTGTTATCTGACGCAGATTAAAAAAAACTACATAAAAAATATTATAACCAAGGTGATGATACCTGGAGTCTAATCCCGTTTGTTGTTGGTTTTAGCTTATTATCCGAGATTCACTGATTTCATCTATGTACTTGCAAAGAACTTTTTCACACGGACCAATTTGTGGCGCTTCTTGGGAGCGCTACTGAGTTGTGCGTTTTGAAGAAACGTTGCTTCATATGGAGTTATACAAATGAGGGCGACCACCGCCACGGTGGCGGGAAGTGGTCGACTATCGCTGAAAGGCGTCATTTCGATAATTGTGAACTGAAGACATCTGACCTTCAGTTAAGGTTTCGGACGGACGGACAGGCGCCAAATGTTATAACTGGGTGCCAAACTAACTCACCCAAATAGAACTTGGGCTTTATATACAGGGTGGCAATTTGAAAACTTACCACCCCTCATGTCTTAGTAAATAAACGAGATATTTAAAAAAATCAAAATCCGTTTCGGTAATTCGGAGGGAGAATCACAATGACATAGTTGGCGACGCACCCCCTCCAACCCCCTCCGCCCCAGCCACCCCAACTTTTAAATCCTAAATAGTGACCACCATGTGTGATACGTCGTTGGAAAGCTTTAAAAAAATGCTTTCTAACCATACCAAATAGCATTGCATTTAGGTTAGTACTTATCGTGCAGAGATATATACTATATTCCACACGTAATCGGCACCCTGTACTATAATAGTAAACTATTGCACTTAAATGTTCAGTGAAGCACAGATAACAATACTGTTTCCATGGAAACGACGGAAGACTCCTAGATTGTGATTTTTGACGTCTTAAACTCAGAATTTTCAGAAGTTTTAGAATAATTTTTATGGTTTCTGCTATAAAATAGTTTTGTTCGATACACGACCATAAAGAACAAGTTAAAAAGTAATCGTAAACGATTTACATAAAGCGCATTTCCACTTGCATTCATTTCCCATTTGTAAGATGCAACTTCTGTTAAAATCGTAGAAATCCGGCCACAAATATGAAAGATAGCATTGCACATGGGCAATCCATTGTCGACGTGCTACTTCAATTTCAGTTTATGAGAAGAATTTCATTTCAATGCTTTTCTAAATAAGAAAGTTGGAACTGCGCATGCGCAAACCTCAATTTTAAAACTAATGTTAGATTCTCCTTTGTTCCAAGCGCCTAAGTATCAAATTTCACTTAAATAGTTCCATAGATAAAAAAGTTGGCACGGCGCATGCGCAAAATAAAATTTTGAAACTGGCGCAAGATTTTCCTTTATTCCAAGTGCCTATGTATCACATTTCATTTAAATTCTTCCATAAATAAAAAAGTTGGCACTGCGCATGCGCAAAACCAAATTTTGAAATTGGCGTTTGATTTTTCTTTATTCCAAGTGCTTCTGTATCCAATTTCGTTTAAATTCTTCCATAAATAAAAAAGTTGGCACTGCGCATGCGCAAAACCAAATTTTGAAATTGGCGTTTGATTTTCTTTTATTACAAGTGCCTATGTATCAAATTTCGTTTAAATTCTTCCATAAATAAAAAAGTTGGCACTGCGCATGCGCAAAACCAAATTTTAAAATTGGCGTTTGATTTTCCTTTATTCCAAGTGCCTATGTATCAAATTTCATTCAAATACTTTTATAAGTAAAAAAGTTTGCAATTCGGTTTATAAATGGTCGAGATGCGAAAAGGGCATTGTGAATTTTGAATCGATTCGATTCAACTTTTGGCATTGCGTATTATATGGTTAAAGCTATGCCCATATTGAATTTCATGCAATTCAGTTCATAACTAACGGAGATGTAAAAGCGATCGAACATTTCTAAACAAAGTTATCGTTCACACGGACAAATAGATGGACAGACAGACAAAGGAACAGACGGACAGACCAACCGGCAGGCGACAGATAGCAATGCAAAATTATAAACGATCTCTAGGATCGTTAATAAACGGCAAAAGTGTAAAATTATGGAACATGTAAAAAAACGGTTTTTTGTTTTTTTTACAATAACTTTTTTGTAAGCGGTACAGAAAAAATTCCTTCCTTGGTACAAGACTCGACACCATAACGAACCAAATAGCGAAAAAAGTAGAACAATAGCTCTTAAGATAAAAAAACTAGTAGCGTCGCAAAGTTAGCGGACGGACGGACGGACGGACGGACGGACGGACGGACGGACGGACGGACGGACGGACGGACAAAGTGGCCACAATAGCGCATTTTTTTTTTATTTTTGTGGAAATGCGCTAAAAAGGAACCATCTCGTGAAATTATCGCTACAACCGCAAGCTATTTGCATAATTGTAGGAATGTTGTACTTTTTTGTTGATCCATGCCACTTTGAATGGACACACGATCTCTGATGTTTTGGATGACATATGTTTACTCAGTTTTTCATTGATTTTGTCACAAGTGTTATGCGATGTTTTTCTAGCACAATCGTTGATCTGATAGCTTCATAATAGCTCAGGCACTTTAGACAAAAAAATGCCCTAAATTAGACGAAATTAGTAACTAGCTGATTTTTGGTGGGGTGTTAGTATATGATAAGGTAAGTATTTTCTGAAACCCTTACTTCCTCCGCTTGCTTCACCCGGTACAGCGATAGAAAGAACCTGTGACCGGAAAGTAATGAAATCGCTATTGTGCTCCATCTACGGCACCGATTTTGACGGTTGTGGTCTTAAATTGTTCAAAATGACAGTGGTTGTGCTAAATAATAACCACTGCAACAATGCGTAACATTTTGAGGTGTTTTATTTGAAATTTTATGTAAATTTTAGCAATTTTTTAACCGCAAATCCAATAAATAAAGCGCTTTCAGAGCGCCTAAAATAAAGAACTTTGTTACAATTTCGCATCTTTAACATCCTTATCATCCTGCAGAGGATACGATCGATGCATTGGCGCAATCTCCAATACAGGGGGAAACTTGGAAGGACAAGCTCGGGCGCAGTCACAATGTCTATCACACTGGCCTTTACGAACATGTGTATAATTAAATGAAAAAGCTCGTCAGGGGCTTGGTGCAGGGGTGACTTGCTCGTGAGATATCCGGAATCCCCATTCTGTGGGTGTTAGTGGTTTCCAAGCCAATGTTGTACCTGAAGATACACGCGGTGAGAATGGAGAAACGCCGTGTCAGCCGTCGGTTGGAGGACGAATGGCCAAGTAGAATTATGATGAAACTTTCTGGTGAGAGACAGTGTATATCGAAACTGGTCTTTCTACAGATGCGTTCAACAATTTCCAAACTGTTTGCTTCCCTTTTCCGAATCAAGACGAGGTCTTGTCGAATCCCGACGTCGCGTCGCATGTAAAAAGAGCAAAGTCTCTTTTGTGCGGCCAATTTTTTTTAACGTCGTCTTGTATGGTAAAGCCTTTATTTTTTTAGTATTTGGTTTAACGAAAAACATTTTCTAACAACACTCCGCTCCTCATAAGCGCGAATAAATCCTCATCCATCGCAACTACGGCAACTTTGGCTAAAGTGGTCCCCTCGATAACGACCGTCACAATCAAGGTGTCGGTGTCTTGCTTTACCTGCAAGTCCACACAGCGAGATCTTCTGCTTTCCTCACAGGCGTTCGTGCTCATTGATGACTCATACCAGTGTGTCAGTACCTATTAGACATACGAATGGCAAATATCCCGGTTAGCTAAGTCGCGGCCAAACTCCTTTCCTGAGAAGGAATCCTACGTCGACAATGTATTGCACTTTGTAGGTTGGTGGACTATCAGTGCAGCATACTTTTCTATAGTTTCTTCTAACACTGACTTTGTTGTTTTCCTCATGTAAGGCTGATCAAACAACAATGGTGCGGCTTCGGAGCGAGCTCATACGAGATATTCCTTATGGTCCTCTGGACATTTAGACATGCAAGTGATTCTCATAAAAAGCTGATAAGGGCCTACTCGTGTCTCCTTGCCTCTGATTTTTAATGTGCCGTTTACGACGCGATGTTCAGTGGTTTACCATCCGCACGTTAGTAAGGGGGGTATTTCAGTGGGGTAAAAAATGACCCCCCACTCCTTTGACGGAAATACACGTTTTGAAGCACCAAGATCGTGGAATCAAACATCAAACAACATCTCAATGATGTCGGTCTGTCGCTCTGTCGGTCCGTCTGTAGGTAC